CGGCGCGGCGAGCTCGTGCACGTGTTCCACGAGGGCGCGGCGGGGCCGGAGCTCGGCTGGTCCTACGGGCTCGTGCCCGGAGAGCCGGGCTCGCCAGGGTGGTTCCCGAGCAGCCACGTGGAGGCGCTGACGGCCATCTCGGGTCGGACCGAGAGGGTGGGGGGGTCTTCTGGGACCCCAGGATCCGCGCGTTGCAATTTTGTCACGCCAGGCGTTTTCGCCCGGTTTCGGGCCCCGTGGCCCTTACAGGTCGATCCGGCGCGAAGAAAGACGCAGAAATATTTGGCCTAGGGCTCAAGTCGCGATATTCTGCGATGTTGCATTTTTGTGTGTGTGCAATGTCGGATCCGAGGGTATTATTGATACGCTTGCATTGGAAGCCCGTGAGGATGCTTAACACGCTGACTGGCTCCCAACACCAGGCGTTCGGACAACACCGACGGAGCAATACTGCTTCGCTGTTTTCCGAAAGACTGGGTCTCCATCAGAAGAGACACGCTGATATCGGAGGCCCAGAGGTTGACACCAACACCAAGATCGGCGGTGTGCCTCCACCGAGGTAAGAAGATCCCGATCTCGGTGATGGTGGTAATATTTTGGCTTCCAAGGTGGCCGAAATATTACCACCAACACCGAAATCTAGGATCATCTTCCCCATGTGGAGGCAACCCCCTGTGCTGGTGTTGGTGCCAATTTCCAGGCCTCCAATGATAGGGTCCCCAATGCGGCGTCTCATTGACGCTGTATTCGGGCGAAGAAATCTACACATACCCACTGCTCCCTGGCCAGGACCATCCTCAACCCGAGAGCTGTGTATACGCCCTCCCGGCCGAGCCGGGAGGGCGTGGCGTAGACACCGCTGCTGGCTTCGGGAACGGGCCTGGCCAGGGAGCAGTGGATGTATGTATAGATGTCGTCGCCCTATGTTTTTGCCCCGCCCCCATCCTGCAGGGGGGGTACGAAATCTGCTTCGGGCAGCTGGTGTCGGCCACGCCGCCACCGTTCTCTTCTTGGCCTACTTCGGGCATGTCCCCCTACAGTGGAATTTTGGGCGAAAAATTTAAAGAAAAAAACGGAAAAAAAAAACATTGGACAATGATCCCGGCGAAGGACCCAGCCATACGCAAGGGACAGATCCGCAGGGCAGGTGGGACGAAGCAAGGGGAATTCCCAATGGGGCCACGAAAAGTGTGAGGGGTGCGCCAATATGGAGCGGGGCCGCCATGCGAACCCTGCCACAGGGGCCTTCGGTGGAGCTCACCTTGGGGCCACGAACCGTGTGAGGGGTGCGCCAAAATGGGGCGGGGCCGCCATGCGAACCCTGCCACTGGGGCCTTCGATGGAGCTCCCTATGGGGCCACGAACCGTGTGAGGGGTGAGCCAAAATGGAGCGGAGCCGCCATGCGAACCCTGCCACTGGGGCCTTCGGTGGAGCTCCCTATGGGGTCATGAACCGTGTGAGGGGGGGGGCCAACATGTGGGGCCGCCATGCGATCCCTGCCACTTGGGGCTTCGGTGGAGCTCCCTATGGGACCACGAAACGTTGTACTGGGTGATGATGATGATGATGATGATGATGATGATGATGATGATGATGATGATGATGATGATGATGATGATGATGATGGTGATGAGGTAGGGAGGAGGGGGAGCAGGAGGAGCAGGAGGAGAACGCGGGGACCGTTATTTCAAAACGAAGACCCAACACCACAGGATGGTTGGCAAATGTTCAAAAATATTCAAAAATCGTTCCATATTATTTCGTTGACTATTTCTGTATATTCGTCCTGTGGAGGGACATGCCCGATTTAATCCTTGGCGCACTGGCGCCTCCAGCCCTGGGAGGCGCGGGAAAAACCAGCTGCGTGTGAGCTGAGTCGCGAGCCCCCTCTTTGCGCCTCCCCCGTCTCGTCCGACCCTGCCATCCCGGACCCCGTTGTAGCCGGATGATGGCCAAAAAATGTGCATCATCATCAGCAACAGCATCATCATCAGCATCAACATCAGCATCATCATCATCAGCATCATGGTCGTCATCATCATCATCATCATCATCATCATCATCATCATCATCATCATCATCATCATCATCATCATCATCATCTTCATCAACATCATCATCATCATCATCATCATCATCATCATCATCATCATCATCAGCATCGTCATCGTCATCGTGGTGATCGCCATCGTCGTCGTCATCATCCTTCCTTGTTTTGAGGGGCTTGTACACCACGCTAGTTCGTCGGCCAAGGAACCAGAGATTGAAGCGAAACTGTTCTTTGAATTGACCCAGACATCGAGCTGCTCCAATCTTTTCGGTGCGTGGGCCCAGAGGTCCGGACCCTTTCCCTGGGATTGGTTTTTCGTCCTGAGTTGTTTTTTGACGCTCCCGAGGCCGGGCGAGGGCTTCCAGAGGCCAAACATGGTTAAAAAAACGTTTCAGTGTTCGTTTGAGCATCGGATCTCTGGGGAGAGCCCCGTCTGCCTTCTGCTCCACCCTCCGCCTCGCGGGCCGTAAACGTGTCTGCTTCCACGGCCTCGCGGTCCGTGCTCCCCCGCAACGCGCATGCACCCGGCGGCTTTGCGCGGAGCGTACCACCCTGGACGTTTTTGTTCGTCCCCCTCGGTATACTAGTAGCAGATCATGGGAGCCTCGTGTACCCTCGCAATTCCATCTCTGAGGTGCGTTAGCGTCGATCGGCGTTTGGTAGTCCATGGGATAGCGCCGATTTAGCGTCGATTAGCGGCGATTCGCGCCAATTAGCGTCGATTCGCGTCGACTAGCGTCGCTCAACGTCGAATCGCAAGAGCCAACAGGATGGCACGGGAGACTCCCATGACCTGCCGCAGAAGTACCTTGACTGCGAGGGCAGGGCTGTGGACATGCTCGTCGGCCTTGGCCCTGCGTACCGTCCCTTTGCTCCCCTCAGAGCCCACTCGAGGCCGAGCCCCCCCCCGTGTGAGGGGCCGGCCGAGACGGCCGTGGAGCATGAAGAAAAGCTGGAGGGCAAAATCTACTTGCTAGAAGACCAGCATCTGGGGCGTATGCCGCATGCCGTTCTCACCTTCTAGCCGCGAGTGTCTGTAGACCTACATCGGATGTCGCTACACTCTATGGATACAGTCGGGGCGGGATACGTCTGTAGAGAACGCAGTCGTTGCGTACGGCGCAGTACAGTCGGGGCCCTGAAGAAGGAACCCTTCCGCTGGGGAGGGGCTCCGCGTTCCTTAAGTGTTTCGCAGCTTGCCTCAGGTTTTCCTTCTGTTCCCGATCGGAACTCGAAGCTTCACTCATGGAACAAAAAGGGGCCTCGTTCCTTACTTTGGGCTCCTTCGGTCTAGCCCCCGACTGTACAAGGCTGGAGAGAGGGCATCGTGTCGACCCCAGCTTCGGTGCCTGACGCCGCGGGGACCCCTCCACCCTGAGCGATCGGCCAGCCCCGAAACGTCCGGGCGCCCAGCGCCCCTTGGGCTGGGCGGGCCGCCTGAGGCTCCCGGCAGAGGCGTCCGGGGCCAGGCCCCCCCTCCCCCCCGCCCGCATCAATCGAGGGGATCGAGCTTGGGGTGCAGCAGGTGGGGGGGGGGGGTAGATCCACACAGGCGCAGCTTCGACGAGGTGATATCACGCTTGGGGCAGATAAAACGAAAACGACGCGAAGATCGGGACAAAATCGGATCGGGAGAACTCGAAATCTCTGAGGATCGGCGGGTTTGGAGGATGTATTGGGCGCCGCGGCCGCTCCAGAGCGTTCCGGAACGCTCTGAGAGCGCTCCGGAACGCTCTTGAGCGATTTATCCCGATCCTAGCCTTGTTTTAGTAGATCAAACTTGGGGGGTAAGTCCACCATCCAGGCGTAGCTGCGACGAGGAGAGCACCTCTGGCGCAAGCCGCTTCTGTCGTCGATCCCCTGCTCGAGAGCCCGCGCCAGCGGGGTCGGCGGCCCTCTCCGTGCCGTGCCCGAGGGGCGCCCGGGGAGAGGCGTCGTAAGGGGGGTTTCTCCGGCGCCCACCCCTGCCCCCCCGCTTTTCCCGCTCCGGGCGGCGGGCAGGGCCGCTGAGGTAGGGGGAGGGGCGGGGCGGCGAGGGGGAGGGCCGCTTCTCACCTTTTCCCTCACGCGCCCCCACCTCCCCGCAGGGTTTCGCCGCGGGGAGGTGGCACGACAGGTCTGCATGGCCACAGGATCACCATGACCGCCATGAGCAGCAGCAGCAGCAGCGGCGAGGGGGGGGGGGGGCGGGCGTGCCCAGCCCTCGCCCCCCACGGGTTCTCCCGCGGGGTTCTTGCTCGCAGCGTCGTCGCGTAGGGGTGTCGGCTGCTGCAGCGTTGGCTCTCTCGCTTGAGAAATCATGTTGCGCCCCGCCGAGTCCGCACACAGAGGCGCGGGTTGCTCCGTGGATCGGCTGGACGTTCTGTGTTTTGGTTTCGTATGTTGCGGGGCCTGGGTCCCCCCCCCCGGCCACACGCTGGTGCTCGCGCGCGCGTCATGGGTATCGTAGCGTACGCCCGCCCTGACGTGCCCCACCCCGCCCAAGCTTGTTTACCGTCCCCGGGAATAGGAGTTCGACCACAAGAAACCTTCCACAGGAAACCCAACCCTGAACCCCCAGGACGTCCATGGATTTTGATGTGGGCGCCTCACGCTTGCCATAGCAAAGCCAGCGAAGCGCAAAGCGAGTGTCTTTTGGCATCGGCTTCCATCGGGGAAACGCAAGACCCGAGTAAGCCGGAACTCGGGTTTGCCGACGCTTTTTTGACGACGCGTCCTGGATTTTGACGGTCCAGTTTTCGTGGGATGTCTGCAGCGGGAGCTCGCGTCAAATTTCAGATTGGGCCTCGTCATTTTTATGCAGGCCCCGTCGGGCCAACCCGAGTCCCCCGTACCCGAGTCTTACGTCTCCCCGATTCCACTGTCAAAGCGATGTCCCACAAATTATGCATTCATCCAGTGGCTCCCTGCGGAGTAGTCCGCGCCTCCTTCTGCCGAGCGCGCCGCCAGGGAAGCGAGCCCGTCGGCGGCGCCCTCCCCTGGCGAGACGGCGGCGTTCTGCCGGCGGCATTGGGAGCTGGTGCAGAAGGGCGAGCAGGGGCAGCGTCGTGGGGGGGGAGATAGGCTCAGAGGGGACACGTCGGACATTGGAACCTATACACTACCAGTAGCGGGCTGCTTCTCAATCCCAGGACTTTTTTGAGGGTCGAGGACGACGTCGGGGTGGGGCGGCGTACACTTGTTCAGTGTGTTCCCGGGGAAACCACGAAACACGTACACACATTAGAGCCCCTTGTGCACCAGGGTCAGTTTTCCTGTGCAGATCTCGGTGCAGGGACGACAAAAGCGTCGGTGTATACAGTTGAGTTCCCTTAGATACAGCCATCCCGCATAGCAAGGATGGCCAACCTTCCCAAGGGTACCCTGGCATTGTTGCTTCCTGGGCCCAGCCTTGGCCACTTTCGTTGGACGCAACCCGATCGAGAAGCTTCGAAGTGAACGTCCAAGGCCCTTGCATCCTTATCGCGCGTCCTTACAGTGGAGGCCCATGCCAGAAAACACCCTGCTTGCCTCCAGGCTGCCCTGGGTTTCTTGGGTTTCCAGGGTGTTGCTGTAGAGGGCGTGGCGTTCCCACGCCAAAAATCACTGGACGCCCTGGGGTTTCAGGGTTGGGTGCCTTCTGGAAGGTTCCTTGTTGTCGGGCCCCCAGTGTACTGGAGGATGACGGTTAATAAATGACCAGGGGTCGTGTTCATGCGGCGGCGCCTGGGATGACGATTAGAAAAAACCGGCCGCGGGCTGGAAAACTATGTTTTTAATCGTTCTTCCCCAGTCAGAAAATTGTGCAGAAACAGCAGAAAACTATTGTTTTGATCGTTCTCTCCCGTGTCTTTATGAATCGTCATCCCGCATCATGGTGCGGGCCGACGGCATCGGACCCTCGCTCGAGTCGCCCCTGCATCGCCCACGAGGGGCCCATGGCGGCCGCAGCCCGCCTGCCCAGTCGCAGGAGCCTGCGGCTCCGCTGCCGGGGGGCCCGTCGCCGAAGAGGCTCCGTGAGGCCCAGCAGATGAGGGGCGGCATGACAGGTCAGTCGGGCGGGCTCCTCCACGGGAGGAGAACTCAGGAGCAGGGGGATCAATAGTCTGGGCACACGGTCTGATCATTTTTCTCATCCTGTCTGGTCAGTTTTGAAGTGTTGTCACGCTGTCTTCCCCAAAATCCGTCTGTCGGAGGACGTGCCCGACCTAGTATTGCATCGTTCACGCCACCATCGGGGACGCTTGCCCAAGGACGGTTCGACATGTTATACCCTGACGCGCCACCCTGCAAAGCACAAGGAAGATCCTGGAACATCGCAGCCACAGCCACATACCGCATCTTTCCGCTGCACCCTTCGACCCGGATCGATCCGTAAGGGTCCCAGGGCCCGCAATTGGTGGACCGCGCCAGGGTTGAAAGAGTTGCAGCCGCAGGCTTTGAGGGGATCTCCAGTTCCAGCTCGATGTTTCCCCCCCGAGCCGGTCCCCCCCCCCACCGCTGCGGGCAATACTTTTGTCCGTGTCCATGGCAGCTTGGAGCTCCAGGCCCCCTCCCCCAGAAGCCCGGGGCGCACTGGAAGCGGGAAGAGCTCTGGCCCCGAGAGGCTCCGTGCTCACCCGCGCCCAGTGCTCCTCGGCCCCTGGGGGAGGAGGAGGAGGAGGAGGAGGAGGAGGAGGAGGAGGAGGAGGAGGAGGAGGAGGAGGAGGAGGAGGAGGAGGAGGAGGAGGGGGAGGAGGAGGAGGAAGCAGTCTTCTGCCCCGCCAGGCGAGCCCGGCGCCGCGTGGAGGGCTCGCGGGGGGATCCGGGCAGGGGCAGGGGGGCAGAGGCGCGCGCGGGGCTCCCCAGGCCCCGCCCCCGCGCCGTGGCAGAGAGAGAGAGAGAGACGTGTGTCGCGAGGAGCTGCACTCTCTTCGGCCTCCCGGGGTCCCGGACGGGAGGCCTCGGGAGCAGGAGGGCGCTGAGATCCTGGTGTTGCAATTCGTTCCCAGCGGGCGCTTTCGCCCCGTTTCGGGCCCCGGGGCCCTCACAGATCGATTCGGCTCGGAAAGATGACGCAGAAAGCTGGGGTCCGCGGTTCTGGGCGTGATCTTCTGCGATGTTGCAATTTTTCGCAACGTCGGATCTCGGCGGCGGAGGAGGTGGGGGTGGAGGAGGAGGAGGAGGAGGAGGACGACGAGGAGAAGGAGAAGGAGGAGGAGGAGGAGGAGGAGGAGGAGGGAGGAGGAGGGGGAGGAGGAGGAGGAGGGGGAGTCGGGCGGGTCAGGAGGAACAGGAGGAGGAGGAGGAGGAGGAGAAGGAGGAGGAGGAGGAGGAGGAGGAGGAGGAGGACGATGAGGAGGAGGAGGGGGCATCAGGAGAAGGGGAATGAGGAAGAGGGTGCATCAGGAGGAGGGGGAGGAGGGGAAGGAGGAGGAGGGCGAGTGTGTGTTCGTCTGATGTCAGGTGTCAGGAGGAGGGGGCATCAGGCAGAGGGGGAGGAAGGGACGGAGGAGGAGGAGGAGGCGGAAAAGTAGGAAGGAGGCGACTCGGGATCGAAAGCCAGTCCCCGAGAGGGGGCCTGGACACCGCTGGTGGTTCGCGTCATCCAAAGGCATGGCGTCAGGGGGTCTGGATTGGTGCGGGATCCCATGTGGAGCAGTGGCGAAGCGTCCTGGTTTGCTTACAGGCCCATCAAAAATATTACAATAAGCTTGTTTTGTTGGTTGCACGAGCTGTTCTTAGAACCTTGCTGTCTGAGACCGTCTCGTTTTGACACGCAGGTTTTATGTTCTGAAAGCATGGGTTTGGTAGAACATGCTCTGGCTCCAAGAACGTCTCTTGGTAGGCCTACAGGAATGCCGGGACGGTCGGCCCCTGCCCAACCCCTCAGGAGTGAGGAGTCAGCCCGGGAGTGAGCTGGGAGGCGGAAGCTGGGCGCAGGCACGGCACGGCTGGAGTAAGAAGGTCAGCTGTTTCACGTCGCTTGGTCGGGGACGGGGGGGGGTAGAAATGTGCGCTTCTCGGGCCCCACAGGGGGCCCCTTTTTTGGTCCCTGGAGGGCCCCGCAGGGACCCAAGAGGGCCCCCGGCCTGCAGCCCTCGCTGCCCTCCCGCTTCGTCGCCACGTGCGCGACGCCCAAGGCTGTACGTAGAAGTCGTGGGCGAAAAGCACATCTGCATCCGCGGCCTCACGGGCCGGGCATCCCTGGGCCGCGACCCCGCGGATGCGGTGCCGTTTTTTTTTGTCGCGGATGCCCCGCGCAGAACGTATAATTTTGGCCGCGTACAGTGGAGACCCATACCAAGAAACACCCTGCTTGCCTCCAGGGTGCCGTGGGTTTCTTGGGTCCCCCTAGTTTTTCTATGGGAAGCGTGGCGTTCCCACACCAAAAATTCCATGGACGCCCTGGGGTCTCAGGGTTGGGTCTCTTGTGGAAGGTTTCTGGTGGTCGGGCCTCCAATTGTATCCGCAGGATTGCGCCCCCGAATCCAGACGGCGAGGGCGCGGATGCGGATACACGTCTGTTGGAAGAAGTAGGCAGAAACATGAAGTAGGAAGGCGGATATAGTAGATTGGGTCCAGGTCCTCCCAGATAATAACAAAACTGAGCAAACCCATGTTGATTCTTGAAGTAGGAAGGCGCTTGAAGTAGATTGGGATTTGGGAATCCAAAAATACCTACTTTCAACGACCGGCGTGTACGTTCGCCGCTCGCACGGGGAGATGGGAGCGGGAAGTGGGGCGCGGGCGCGGCTGGAGTCAGAAGGTCGGACGCGCAGGGGCGGGCAGGGCGCTGCGAGGAGGGGGCCTTGCCTCCCCCGACTGGGCGGCGGCTTTTCCCGGGAGGGGCCGGCCCCTCTCCACACGGCGGCACGGTGCTCCGTGCACCTTCAAGAGGCGGGGAGCCCTCTTCATCGAGGATTGAGAGGAGGAGGAGGAGGAGCAGGAGGAGGAGGAGGAGGGGGAGGAGGAGGACGGAGGCGGCCCTTCTACGAAGGCTGGGGGGCGTTTTCACTCAGCAGGCGAGGGGGGCCCTCTCAGAAGGGCTGCTGGGCTTCCAGGAGGCCTTCCCAGAAGCAGCCAGGCGCTCCCAGCAGGGGCCTTCTTGCCCTCTCGGACGCGCACCGCTTTCTCAGAAGGCGGGCCTCTGGCGCCACCTCCATGGCGCGCCTCAGGCCTCCAAGAGCTTGTTGATTGATGCGCCCGCTGGCGGATAACGCCCCCCCCCCCCAAAAACAAAAAGTAACGGTAACCGTCGTTCGTGGTGAGGGACCGGACACGCACAGACATATATGTACATATCTGTATATGCTTACTTACACATAAGCATGTTGTGATGTTCATTGGCGTGTTGTGGTGTTCACAGGTGCTCACAGACGGAGTCTGGCGCTCACAAGGGATGTTGTGTTCACAGGCAGGCAGTGGCGTTCGCAGTTATTGGGGCGCTCGCATGCTATGCGCGGCGATTGCAGACACATCAGCTGATTGCGGTCCCGACAGGGTCTGGTATCCAGCTTTGCGCGGCGTTCGCAGGCTATGTTAGTACTGCTGGGGTCTGGACTCCCTCGCCAAATCGTAGTGGCGAGCGCCCGGCGATGCTGACAGGCACGTTATGGCGCTCTAAGGCTGCCGTGGTTAGGAGGAGGAGGAGGAGGAG